TACTACTGCTACTGCTACTACGAAAATTATTATTATTACTACTACTACTACTACTACTACTACTACTACTACGTCGACGACGACGACGACGACGACGACGACTACTACTACTACTACTACTACTACTACCGTGGTCGTGCTCGCACTCGTACTCGCGCGCTCCTTTCGGCGGCCTAGGCTACGGCAACCAGCAGCACGGTGACTTCCAGCCCTCCAACATCTACTATGATGAGAGCACGGCCTCGGTGTCTTTCATCGACGCCGGGGGCTGAGAATCGGCCGACAGACTGACCTACGGATGTCTTAGTCGAGTCTGTGGAGCTACGAAGGTCGGAGGAATGGGGGTACCAACCACTGGCAACGATCTGGAGCACTTCCACCAGTGTGTGGCAGCCTCGACACATCCCTCCTTCATGCTGAGCTCATCCCCGCTCTGTTGGTTTCGATCATTCAGTGCAAGTGCACATGTATGCCAAGCTAGCTGTGATGTTTTAGCTTGACGTGCCTGTCAGATGCGGTCAATGACCACTGGCTACGAGCCACACCTTCATGTGGATCTGCTCAATTCTTTCGACAAGGCCGGCCTTTGATGCATGCATGCATTTGGGCATCTGTAGAAGCTTAGGCTGCTTCGGTTAAGGGCAGAGCACGGAGAGTGGCAGCATAAGACACATCCGAGATCCGCCCCTGTTCAGGGCTATCAGTCCTCGCCTTCACATCAGGCCGGATCGTCGGGCTATTGGGGGAAGCAAAAGCCGAGTCGTCCCATAGGAGCTTTGTTGATCAGACCAGTACCGACGAAGGGCACAGCTGAAACGTCTGCGTAGAGTTCCCTGAGGGCTTCGAGGTGGTGACGTGAGAAGCACGGCAGAACGCAGGACCTTGCAGCCTTTCCACAATCTTCAGGCAGAGAACCTGCAGCTTCTTTGGACAAAATCTGTTTCGCACATTCGAATCCTGCAGGGGCTCGGAGTCGAGTGAGGAGGATTGTGGCCCTACCCTGGCTTCCATTCTGGACGACAACCCACCCTAGCTTCTAGAGTCTAGAGGACACAGTGGCTTACTTTTGGAATTCTCCGGAGATTCAGGGAAAGGCAGAGGCGTTGATTGGCGAGGAGCTTCAATTTTCAGCATTGGCCCGCGCAGAAGGAAACTGCAGGCCAACGTGACCTGTAAGGCCTTTTGTGCAAGGCAGGGTTATTGAGTCCAGTCAGTCTCCCTCAAGCTTGTGTAGATACCTGCGCAGCCACACCGGCTTGACAATGAGCCTTTCGATGAACAGTTTTCTAACCTGGTTAGGTGTCCTTGCAGGGTGTGTGCTCGCAGAGAGGACTCTCTGCGTGATCATAGTTGCGCATGAGTTCTGCAGGGAGATGTCTAAGGATCCGGATGGTGAAAGCCATCAAGCAATAACATGCACGTGCAGAGATGGCCTACTCAACGGCATGATGATCGTGTGCGTGTGGTCTCATTAGTATGTTTCAAGGACTTAAGCAATCCGTCTACGAGATTGAGTGGAACCTCTGCGCGAGAGCTGTTCGAGAATGAATCTGTGACAATTTTTTGCACAAGAATTCGATCGTTTCCGTCATTTACATGACCCCGAAATAGCATCGCAGGGCAACGCCGTGTCGCACCCTACCAGTCGCGCATGCTCTCGTATTGCTGCTCGTCGCTGAGCCGTGAATTGAGCGTCTCCTCGTCGATTTTCTCCTCTCACAGCATACAGCTGCATGCATCTTGCTCACTGGCGATGGCTTTGGATTGCCCTGCAGTGCCTTGCAGATGAGTTTTTTAGCTTTGCCTTTGCAGGCCCGCCTGCTCCCGTTAAGAGCCTCTGGCCGGGATGGGCCCGGAGACGCGATGACAAAACAGTTGGTGTCGACGTGGTTCTAGCCAGCTTCTAGATTCCTTACTGCAGCTGTGCCAAGAATCCAGGAGTGGGCCACAATACTGGAACTGTAGGTGTACTGGAGCGCAAATGGTTGACGGCCCATTTTGGAGACATCAAGTCTGGTTTGGAACATGTTCGGGACCAGGGCTGTAATATGTGCCCTCGCGAGGTGCCCATGGTACTTCATGCCCAGCCGTCGTTAGCGCAGCTCACTATGGCCCAGAGGATAGCTCATCTTGCAGACCACAAGTTAGCGGGCCGCCAGGAAACGGCGCCAACGACAGTCCTGAGGGTCAGTGGATGTTACTGGTATCCTCACTGCGTGCTCTGCGCAGGGACGACCTACTAATTTTATTTAGCTCCAAAGCTGAGTGCCCTCTGCCATGAAAGTAACACATCAACAGTCGTGACCAAACTAGTATCTAGAGATACCACGGTTTAGTTTTTTGTTATTTGGCGGTTTCGGGTTAGGGGCACCGTCTTGGCGACGTGGCACTGCCCGGAGGGGGTGCTGCACACATTCTCGAGCCCAGCATGTCTAAGCTGGATGACTTCCTAGACGAGATCGTCAAGGACAGGGTCATCGCTGTGCTTGTGATTTCGAGTCTTGTGTGGCTGTAGAGATGAGATGCCTGAATATCTAGCCTGGAGCCGGACAGTCGGAAATTGAAAAGGTACACATGAAGCAGCTCGATCCAGAGGCAATAGTCGAGGAAGAACAGTCTGCTCCCGCCTCTCGGATATTATGCGTCAAGATCTGCAGTGTGTGTCTAGCCGGCGTATCCTGCCTAGCAAAGGTCAGCTGGTCGGAGATGGTTGGAGCCTTACTGAGCCCTAAACCCTAAACCCTAAGCCCTAAACCCACCGAGCCTGCGGCTTGAAGTCACCGTAAGCCCGCTTGTCCGACGAGAGCCCTAGGTCTTCATCGGAGTGCCCTTCAGCTGCAAGGGCAGCGAAAGATTCTGCTGTCCTGGAGGAGGACATGGCGAGTTGAGGTGCTAAAGAAGTAGGAGACAGAGCTGAGGATTTTGCTGCTGGTGTGCTACATCGCTGCGGACTACTTGTGCCAGGGACCGCATCGAGACGTTTTGCAGGTTCTGAAGCGAACTCCTTGGAAAGATTGCCGAGACCTAGTGACCTAGTGAGCCCCAAGCTCCTTTCGCTAATCAGGAGTTCTAGAACATGAAGCGTGTAAACCCGAGGTATCCATATTTCGAGACCTACGTGCTTCGCCGCTGGGCTAAGATTCGGCCAAGCCTCCATTCAGTCAGCTCCACCTTCCCATCAGAAGGGCCTGTGGTCCAGTCCCTGAGGCAAGAAGAAGAAGCGCCCTCTCCCGAAGGCTGCCGGTCCTCGGAAGAAAGGATAAAGAGCCCTGGGCCCTGGGCCTTGGGAGGGCGCGGCCGGGCCGCGCCCTCCGGCTAACGACGCAGCTGTCAGCTTCCCGAAGCGGCAATGCGCCCCCTCTGTCTTTAGAGTCCTCAGGCCCACTTCCTAAGCTCGGAAGTCTGTGCAATATGAACGGCCATGCGCCAAGCTGACTTGGCAGGCGTGGCCGGAGGTGTTGTGCGGAACAGCAAAAAGGACAGAGACCGCCCGAACCCAACACTCACATGCAGTTCCTTTTTCTGACATGAAGTTCCGAGACCTCGCAAGTTTCAATTGAAATGCACTTAGCGTTGTTTTGTAGGTTGGTGCTATCAGAGTACAAGAAGACACGCTCGACTTTGTGAATGTGGATGTGCAGACACCGGCAACAGAACTGAAAAGCCTTTCGTTCCCACCAAGACTGCCAGTTCATGTTGTAGCAAGGCTCAAAAGCACAGAGCGTGGCTGAATTATCTTGGGGGTCCAGGGTGTTCCTGGAAAGAGGTCTTGCTATTCTTCCTTATCCCGAAGGCGAGCCCAGCTGGGCCTGCTGCCTCTAAATGACAACCACCGTGTTTCATATCTTGTATCCCAGACGTCAGACACCCGAGAAGCCTGTTCCGAAAGCCCAGTCCCGAATGATTTTGGCCCGCCCTTGTATAGCAGCCCTCCCCACCATTCTCCGCAATCCATCGGCACGATGGCGATGGAGTCGGAGAGTTTCTGTGGAGCGCGCCGGCACACGCTCCGGACCAGGCGTCCTTCTGAGGTCTTCGTCTGAACTGCCGCTGCCTTTTCTAGCTACTGTTGTCTTGATGGAAACCTCGGGATGCTATGCAAGCACCAGAAGCCCGAAATGCCAGCAGCGTGGAGGCATGTGGCATCTATGGCTTTTGCAATGACCTGTGCCGGACCTTTCGGCGTGGAGGCTGGAGACAAGCTGAGCCGGGTTTCAATGTAGGGGCCTAAATAACTGGGGGTTCCTTATCATCATTCTATAGTACAATATACACCAAAACCCTGTTCGAATTATTAAGGCCCCTATAGTATGGTATGACTGTTGGCCTAGGGGATTTGGCGTATGGCTGTGGCTTCATGCGCAGTCCCCCCCGTCGCACCTGCACTCTTTGACCGACGGTTGACTACAGAGCTCACCCTGAAGACTAGAGCCCTTAGACCCGCACTCGATGCGGATTCCGAAGCCTCAAACCTCCCTCGTTCTGCCTTTTTCACCCTAAACCCCAAACCCCTAAACCCCTAAACCCTAAACCCCCAAACCCCGAAACCCCCAAACCCCTAAACCCCTAAACCCCGAAACCCCCAAACCCCTAAACCCCTATTTAAACCCTAAACCCCCAAACCCCCTAAACCCTAAACCCTAAACCCCTAAACCCTAAACCCCTAACCCCTAAAACCCTAAACCCCTAATCCCTAAACCTTAAACCTTAAACCCTAAACCTTAAACCCTAAACCCTAAACCGAGAATCAAGTAAGGGTTGATAGAGCTTCAGATTGCGGGTTGCGAGTTGGAAGGTTGAGGGTTGGGGTTTAGGGTTTAGGGTTTAGGGTTTTAGGGTTTAGGGTTTAGTGTTTAGGGTTTAGGGTTTAGGGTTTAGGTGTAGAAACCCTAAACCTGATACTCTAAGCCCCAGACCCTAAACCTCAAACCCACACCCTAAACCTTAAATCCTAAACCCCAGACCCTAGACCCTAAACCCTAAACTCGAGTCAGTTAGGGTCAGTGCATGCGTTTGGGGAGATTAGAGAGCGAAGCTTTTTACCAGGGCTATAAACCCTATAAGCCTTATAAACCCTATAAACCCTGTATACCCTATAAACCCTAAGAAGCCCTATAAACCTTATAAGCCCTATACCCAAAACCCCATATACCCTAAACCCTAAACCCTAAACCCTAAACCCTAAACCCTAAACCCTAAACCCTATAAGCCCTATACCCCAAACCCCATATACCCTATAAGCCCTATACCCAAAACCCCATATACCCTAGCTTTGACCAGGGCTGGGGTTCAACGCTGCCTTTCTTTGCTTTTCGGCGGCTTTTTGGACCAGGGCCCAGGGTTTAGGGTCGTCGGGCTTCGGGCGGTTTAGGGGTTTAGGGGTTTAGGGGTTTAGGGGTTTAGGGGTTTAGGGGTTCAGGGTTTAGGGTTTAGGGTTTAGGGTCGTCGGGGTTCGGGCGGTTTAGGGTTTCGGGTTTAGGGGTGTAGGGGTTCGGGGTTTAGGGTTTAGGGTTTCAGGGGTGTAGGGGTTCGGGGTTTTGGGTTTAGGGTTTAGGGGTTTAGGGGTTTAGGGTTTCGGGTTTAGGGACTGCCACGGTTGCCCAATCCTACGGCGGCCTTGTCCGGCCTAGGATTCGGGATATGACACTGGCATACTTGGAGGATCATGGGACTTAGTAAGTATGGTTATAAGTACCTTGATTGGGTTATAAGTAGTTATACGTACAGTTATCCTAGTAATAACCTTAGCTACTAAGTCCCATGATCCTTTAAGTGCCCTAAACCCTAAACCCTAAACCCTAAATCCTAAACCCTAAATCCGAATAAGAACCTTAGCTACGAAGTCCCATGATCCTTGAAGTGCCCTAAACCCTAAATCCTAAACCTTAAATCCTAAACCCTAAATCCTAATAAGAACCTTAGCTACTAAGTCCCATGATCCTTCTAAGTATTGGAAGCCCGGGCTTGAAGATGCTCCGATGGAAGCCTGGAAGCACTAGGACCCTAAATCCGAAACCCCAAACCCGAAACCCCAAACCCCCACGGTTTAGGGTTTAGGGTTTAGGGTTTAGGGTTTAGGGTTTAGGGTTTAGGAACCCTAAACCCTAAACTTTCCATAAACCCTAAACCCCAAACTTTCCATAAGCCCTAAAACCGAAACTTTCCGTAAGCCCTAAACCCTAAACTTTCCATAATCCCTAAACCCTAACCCTAAACCCCAGACTCACGACAGGTACTTCTACAACAAGGTGTCCAAGAAGTCTTCGTGGCAGAGGTGGGGTTCTTGGGCCGTGGGCTCTCGAAGCATCCTATACTAGGGTTTAGGGTTTAGGAATAAGGGTTTAGCATTTTTCATTCCGGGTTTTGGGCTTCGGGGTTGAGGATTAAGTTTTAGTTTAGGGTTTAGGGTTTAAGGTTTCATTCTGGGTTTAGGGGGTTTTGGCTTTGGGCTTGACGATTGAGTGGTTTTGGGGTTTAGGATTTAGGCATGGTTTAGGGTTTAGGGTTTAGGGGTTTGGGGGTTTAGGGAAGTTTAGGGTTTGGGGTTTAGGATTTAGTTATGGTGGTTTGGGGTTTGTGTGCAGGGAAAGGGGTCCAGATCCAGAGATTTCCATGTATCAATTTTCCATAGAAGTTCCTTGTTAAGAACCCCTACTATAATCCGTAATCCCAACACCCTAAACCCTAAAATCATAAACCCTAAACCCTAAACCCGAAAATCATAAACCCTAAGCCCTAATCCATCAACCTTCAACCCTAAAAGCATAGACCCTAAACCCTAATCCCTCAACCCTAGACCCTAAACCCTAAAATCATAAACCCTAAGCCCTCAACCCTCAACCCTCAACCCTGAACCCTGAACCCTGAACCCTGAACCCTAAGCCCTAAACGAGCCTCTAAATGCCGAAGATTCCTTAGCTCGGGGACCTTTGGAGTCTGCGAGCCGAAGGCCCTACTCAAGAGTTCGGGTTTCGTTCCGAGGTAAGTTTCGGGTTTCTAGGCGGTTTAGGGGTTTAGGGTTTAGGGTTTAGGGGTTTAGGGGTTTAGGGGTTTAGGGGTTTAGGTTTCATGGTTTTAGGGTTTAGGGGTTTAGGGTTTAGGGGTTTAGGCGTCAGGGGTTTAGGGTTTAGGGTTTAGGGTGCTCCGTTGATTTGGGGGCTTTTGGCGCACAGGGTATAGGTATGGGGTTGAGATGTTTTAGGGTTTAAAGCTTGTTGCTTTGCAGGCTTGGGGACAGGTAGAGGCCATGTCGCTTGACATCCTCAACCCTGACATCTGGGCAGAGTCTGATGCTTGACAAACAACCTTTGAGGCTAAGTACCCTAAACCCTAAACCCTAAACCTAAACCCTGAACCTTAATATCTTGGAGTACCAAAGGTTTAGGGAAGCGGTGAAATAAGTAACATAACCCTCAATCCTAAACCCTAAACCCGAAACTGCCATATCTAAAGTGTTTAGGGTTTAGGGTGATATGAAAGAAGTAACATAATCCTATCCTCAATCCTCAACCCTAAACCCGAAACTACATATTTGGGCTCACGCCGCTTCCACCGATCTCATGGAACGGGCGTAGAACGCTTATAGGAATCTGGCTGTGATACGGAAAGCCCCTAAACTTAACCCCAAATCCCCAGAAGCTTAAATCCGATGCAGAGCCCCAAAAAGAACCTCATTGGAACCCTTATAAACCAAAACCAGAATCCTTTCTTACAGACCTACCTTTATCGACCCCTTCTCAGATCCCTTTACAAGAACCCTTGGCAAATCCTTTAAGAACCCATCTGGAACCCTTGTAGACTTCTTATAAAATCCGTTACAGAGCCTACTTGGAGGATCATGAGACTTAGCAAGTATGGTTCTAAGTACCTTAATTCAGGATATAAGTAGTCATACGTATAGTTACCCTAGCAATAAGCTTACTTACTAAGTCCCATGATCCTTTAACTACCCTAAACCCTAAACCCTAAAACCTAGACCCTAAACCCCTGAACCCAAAACCCTAAACCCCAAACCCTAAATGTAAACCCTAAACCCC